AGCTAGAAATATGAAACTTTGAAAAATGAATGATCTTGATGAGATATATATAGAAGAAAAAGTGTGAAAAACGTCATTGATAAATTGTCCTCGGTTGTTACGAAAAGCCCTTTATGTCACACAAAATAGATAAATATTTAAATTTGACTCTTAGTCAGACTGTTAATTTTGGAAACTAATAGGAATTTATTCCTTCTGAAAAAGAGTAACATTTAGAGATCTGTAAAGAACTTCAGAGCTGAGCTTCAATTGCAATTCTGACAGAGTCCACAAGAAAATAAAAACATTCAGGTGTGGATATAACTTTTTCTACCCATATCCCTTATGAATGCTAGAAAATGATGCATTTTTCTCATAAAAGAATATTGCCCGATCTCCTAGGTGGTAGAACTTGATGCTTTCTATCACCGACAAAAATATCACAACAATTGGTTATTGGTGCATAAAATGCAGTATCACGATATTTTGGTAGAAAAAGCTAAGACCGACTTTTTAATGATATTCCACAATTTTTTTTGCAGGGTGTGGGTGTTTTGATTGCTTACATAAGAAAAAGTCATAAGATTGATATGAAAATTTTAATGAATACTGAATTCACTACGCTCTACAACATATAAAAAAATCATGAATCTGAAAGTTTACACTATCATCAATGTCCTTTAGTGTCTGACTCACTTAGAAACTTACTCTTAAGATATTCTTGCTTATTTCTTCTCAAACTGTTTCTTTTATTCTCTTTTATAAAACAAAAGACCTTACAAATAAAATTATATTGAAATATTTTAAAAAATTTGTGTCTACCAGGCAAGAAAATAAGAATAATTAAAAACAGTGAAATATATAAAAAATATATTGGTGTTGATTTATTTTGGGTATGATATTCTCGACAAGGCAAGCGTGCATTCACCAGCACCCATGAATTATTGTGATCATTTAGATTTCTTTTTCTCTGTCGCTTAAAAAATGAGGACAATGATAAAAAACAAATAAAATAATGTTCTGTTTTCAGTCTATATTTGTTGTGCACGAAAACAGAGATTATTCAAGAGTATATGTTTTACAGATACGAATATATTCTTTTGTTGACGAATATCAGAAACATGTTATCTTCTTAATAAGTACTTTTTACAATGATTTAATTCTTTTTAAAAATTCAGAAAATAAGTTAATAACGTTTGAATAGCAATATGCTGATTACAGAGTTCAAGAGCAAATCATTCGAATTAATCTGTATATGTTTTATAGCAAAGTATTATCATAATCGGTAGAACTTTTCGCGCTGAACATTTCACTAACAGATGTTTTTTACAATTCTGCTGTATCAAAATAAAGATTAATGTCAAATACTATTAATGCACTTTGTCATTAATAAAAAAGTCCTTTTTTATTGACTCGGATTATAAAAAACAATTATATATATATAGATTCGTCTAGAAGTGGACGAAAAAAATTGAAATAAATTTATAATTTTGTCCGGTGGATAAAATATAATTCACTTTCCATCAGGCACCAATTATTTAAAAACAACGATTATCAAAATTATTTTATAACATAAATTTTCATGAACATTATCTAATGAATCCAATCATTGAAGATTTCGAAATTCACTACAACTTTCATTATATATAGAATTTTTCGTTTGTTAAAACTATCAATATAAGTGTCGTTCAATAATTAAAATTTTACATAACTATTCAATATTTATTTCACTAATAACTAACAATACAAAAAAACTACATAAGTGTACGCGATTCTGAATGTTTCGCCGTAAACATTTTTCGAATGTTGATATACTTGTGTAATTTACCTATTTTTTTTTTGAAAGAAAAAAAATCTAAAGTTGAGACGCCACTCTATACAACATAGATAAAATTGAGTTGAACGATCAACATCAATATCTATTAGAATTCAGTTTTTGTTTTTAATTATTATTGAACATTGCCGAAAATCCAATTGAATGACCATCGACAATAAAATTACTTTTAAATAGTTAAACTTTTTGTTGTTGTTCTTCACATGATAGATCTTTTTCCGAGAAGATATTATCACAACCCATCTCCACTTGTTTGTCATTTGACTTTTTTCGTTGTAACAAAGGAATAGTAAATAGTATGACACCGCTAAGAATAGTACAACCACCAAAAATAAAATAAGGCCAAAGAAAAGGTCGAGTAAAGTGAGAAAATGCATCTCGCATTGCTCCTATAAAAAATACATGTTTAAAATTGAAAAGAAAGGGAAACCAAAAAATAATAATAATAAACACTTACCAACAATTGGTGTTCCAACAGCAGTTGCAATGCCAACAAAAAGTAAAAGAACACCGAATGCATCTGATAATTTATTAATACCAACTAGATCAACAAGAACGATCGCTGTTAAAGCAACGTAACCACCCGAAAAGAAACCAAAAGTAGATGCATAGCCTATATGAGGCAAAACAGAAGAACCACATAATGGAGCCACTATTGTAGCAACACCAGAAATAATTAATGTTATAGCGAATAAGAAAAGTCGATTTACCTAAAGAAAATGACAAATGATCTTATCAAAGTTAATTTTTTATATCGAAAAAATTTTCTTACCGATTTTCGATCACCGAGATAACCAATGATAATACGACCAAAAATATTTGATAAACCAATTGACATAACAATATATGATCGATCATCTTTTTGAACGTTTGAATCATTTGCAAGATCATCAGCATAATTATAAATTACATTGAAGCCGAGACTTGCTAAAAAATTGGATACAACAAATAGTGTAAATGCAAGATTTTTGAGTAGATTGAGATCGATTTGTTCGATTATTTGATGAAAGAAAGATTTTTTTGGTGATTTTTCAATAATGACAACTGAAAATATTGAATTGATGAATTTATATTAATAAATGTAACAAAAAAAAACGAAGTTCGATAGATGAGTTTACCTTCAGTAGAATTATTTTTTGATGTTGTTGAACCATTCTGAACAATTAAAAGTTCCTCGTTTTGTTTTTGTTGACCTTCTTTACGCATTTTTCGTTCTAATCGTCGTTGTTCACTAGGTTCTTGTGGTAAAGGACGCTAAACAAAGAATTTGTTATTATCGTCTTGAAAAAAGTAACTTTTTGATTACCATCAAGAAGCCACATAGAAGACTAATCATGATAATACCAGATTCGAGAAGCAGTGCATTCTCATAACTGAGCCATGAGCGTATATTGACGATTCCATTCATGATAAAGGTAAGTGCCATTGTACCCACACCTGAACCACATACAGCGATACCCATGGCAAATGTACGTTTTTTTTCGAAATACAATCCAACAGAGACAATCGCTGGCAAGTACATGAGTGCAAAACCAAAACCTAAAAATATCAATACATGAATGAAACGAAGAAAACGATTAATATATAAAATTAAGAATTTATTTTTTTTCACATAAAAGGATACGAATCTGTTTCAAATATGAAATCGACTGTATAATTTATTATATATGAAAATTTCATCTATTTATCTTCGAGCTATATCAGTTCGGAAAAATAAAATTTGTTCTCGAAATTGATCTTTAACTCTGAAACCTGATTTTATTGAGAACAAAAAAACTTGAAATCCTTCAAATTCAATTCTACTATAATGTATGATCTTTTAATTTCTATAATGTATCATGCAACCAATCTCTCATCTTGTCTATATTACCATGTGAATCACATTCGTATCCATTAACGTTCAAGAAAATTTGAAAAAAATAACTCTATGAGTAAAAGTACATACCTCCGATAATGCCAATTGTAATATAGTAATACCAAATATTAGCCCATAGTCGACTAAGAAAAAAACCGAAAGCAGCAACGCATGTACCTCCTATAGCCACTGCACGACATCCGTACATATTAGTGAAAACAGTTGCGATTGGTCCTTAAAAATTAGAATATAATTATTATAAGAAAACAATGTTCAATTTAGAATAATAAGAATTTACCTGCACCAAGAGTGACAGCTGGTAAAATACTGAAAATAGTTGATACTGAAGCTCGATCAGGTCCAAGTTTATTTCGCATAGGTTCTAAGAACGTTTGACCCATTGAATATGTTATCCTATTTTATTTATAATATGAAAATCAAGATAAAATTAAAAAATTCTCACTTACCCATCCATAATGAAATGGATCAAAAATGATGCAAAGACAACGATCCATCCCCATCCACCATCAGGTACGACTGACTCTTCAACTGAAGTTTTTTTCTTATCATTTTTATCCATTTGATTGTTATCTTCTGAAATAGAAAACTTCACAATATATAATAATAAATATAATTATTTTATATATTGCTCGACAACTTCTAATGTCTGATTCGTATGTCAGTATATAATAATGAACATTAACAAAGATCTGTAATTTTCTACTGATTATCCAAAATAAAAAAAAAGTTTGTTAAGCGAAAACGATAGTAGAACAAGACTATAGGAAGGTTCTATGTGTTATTTTCTCAACGAAATCTTATTGTTCACTATACTTATATAATAAATAAAAAGTGAGACTTATCTCTTCGCTTATTCGAACAGAAGATTTATATGTAGATATTTATTTTATACTTCATTTGTAGCACCAACATGAATATAGAATAACAAAATGAGAATGTCAAATATATAAGTAGATTTTGGTAAACGAAAGATAATTTCAACATTTTTCTTTAAATTTTCTGCATTCTGACAGGTTCGATTCTTTATCTTCTATCAAGTTAAATTTAAAAAATAAACAAAATGTCAAAGAAAAGCTCAGTTATATCAAACTTGAAAGTCTATTATTCGTCAACTTCAAGTTTCATATTTGTACTCGAGATAATACTTATAATTTCAATGAATGATTTTAAACGAAACAATTCAAAAAAATACAAGATTATTTCTGATTGTGAGAAAGAAATCTTTTACTTACACTGTGCAAGTTGGACGAAATTATTGTATACGCGTACAATACGACACGCTATTATAAAATACAACTAGTCGATTCGAGAGGACGAAAAAATGTTTGCTCGTTCTCTTTTATATGAACGGGATAGACAGAATGATGCAATGCTGTAAGATGAACGCACTGAAGGATGAAAAAACGCTGTATAACCGTAGAAGATGATGCAATGTGCGTTATAATCTGAGAAAATTTCTGGTGAAGAAGAAAAATTTTGCATTAAGATTACAGTTACTAAAATAGATGTTAACGGGCCGATGATGAAGTTGTTTTGTGTTCAGCTGTTTCTCATCCTTACGATATTCTATTTTTATTTGTGAGTAGTGTCATTTTTTCTTTTCTTTGTTCTTTATCCTCTGCTGAACTAATCATTAGTCCTTCACATAATGTGAAGTATATATTGTAAATATCCAAGTTTATATACAATTTGATAATTAAAGTCACTTAAAATGATTTTCTATATGATTTCAAACTTATAAATAGAAAATTTCTTAAAACGACAACATTATTGAAGTTCGAAATACACACAAATAAACATTCATATAACAAGGATGAATCATCAATTCTGTTTCTTTTATATGTTACATTAATAGAGAGTGAAGGTTGGTTAAGCGAACGATTTTTTTTTCTAGGATGGCTTTGTTCAATATTTTATATCTCGTTTATGTAAAAGGATTAATAATTTTATTTTAATATTGCTGAAAAGTGAATTGATTTCTCTATCTACTCATATGAAGAAAAAAAAGATTCTATTTTAATGATTGAATAATTACCGATATAAAATGACATATCTAGAATATTTGCTTTATCTCTCATATTGGTAAAGCGAATGCGTTTTAGTTATTTCAGCTGGAAATGATCTACTGAAGAGTATTTCATTTTCAAAATAAAAATTGATCATGATGACCTTTGATAAATTTTTTTCGAATGCGTAGAGATTTACTTATAGCCGATAGTTCAAGCAAAATCAATGAAAAGTTTTTTTTTTCGAATGATTCTCTCTTTTGATCTTAATCTTATCATAAGAAACGGCACTGATAAAAGGGTGTGGGGTGTGAATATTCTCTCAACTTACATTTAAACTCACACTCATGCCCATATGTGCACACCCACCCTAAGGACATAGACGAACGTGTAAATGGCATCAACAATTTTTCGCAAGAATATACATGCAACCAAATAATCCACATGAAATTAAAGATATGATTTAGATGTATAGTATAAGGTGGATTCTCCCTTTATCCAAACTCTTTAAGTGAATTAGAGAAAAACTTGTTCTATGAATATTTGTTTTCTATTAATGTAATGGCATACTTACTTTATGGCATATTTTAAATGACTATCATCGTTTCAACATGATCCTTTTCGTGACATATATGTATTCTTTCGATTTTCGTCTCTGTTCACAAGACGATCATTAATGAGTACACTCATATGTCGAGATTTATGAGCCTGAGTGAACCGCAGATTCTCAGCAAGGTGATGTAGCTCAGATGGTAGAGCATTCGCTTAGTATGCGAGAGGTATTAGGGTCGGTACCCAACTACTCCAGTTTTCTCTTTTCTTTTGATTGGCACATTATCTTATGAAACTTTATTATCCACGTGATATAACTGTCTGAAATGTACTGTAGTTACAGTGTTCGCTACCTAATCTCTCTTTTTTTCGAAAAATCATGGTTATATCTATGAATGAAATAAGAAGAAAACACGAGAGAAAAAATATGACCACTATATCAAGAAAAATAGAACGATATTAAATGTACTATGAACGTAGGAAAGGAAAGAAAAGAAGAAAACTTAAGATTATCTGTCGTATCCTAAGGGTGTGGGTGTGTGGGGTGTCAGTGTCGGTTTGGGTGTGACGAAAAGATTCACACCCACACCCAAGACTACATACCTTTATAATAAAAAGAAGAAATTTATGTAATAGACGTGGCATGCTGTTAAAGGAAGAAAGACATTTGACTACACTGGAAAAAATAAAGGTTTATGAGTTTGCAATAGGACATAAACCATTTTTTTCATTTTTGAAATCTCTGATAAATCCATTCTTCAAATCATAAATAAAAAAAACGTTTATTATCTTCATCATATATGGAAAAAATGGTTTGCTGTCCCGTTGTAAACTCATGAACTCATTTTTCGTCTGATATCCATCAAAAACGCTTTTTCCGTTTATTAATTTGCAGATTTTTTTTCATTGTAGGCATGCAACGAATCCAAACTCAGGCTCTGTGTTCGAGTGCTGGTATGGCAGCCGTCCAAGCCGTTCATAGTAGATGGCTGCGAATCTACGTAGAGTGTGGGTGTACGAATATGAGTGTATGGCGTAAGAATGAACGTTAGTGTGAATGTTGTTGTTGTGTGTGTCTGCGGTGTGAGTTTAGATGTGTTGGCGTGTAAGATTGAGGCTGATGCTGACGATCTTCATTGCATAGGCACCCACACTCATAATCAGGCCTACATACATCCCACACCCAGGTATATTGATTGGTTCTTGTTTTGTCTAGACATCGTTGACTCTATCTGTGGATTACATTTAGAAAAGACAACATCGTGTAATATGGTGAGGCAAGATTTCGTCATCTCAAGTTCGGGAAATGTCGAAATTTCGGTAGATTGTCCAAACTTTGTGAAATTCTATCAAATTTTTGACAGTATTGCCAAATTTCCACATTGAACTCTTTTTTTGTTTTATTTGATCTGTGCAGATCTCAAACTTTGTTCGTAGCACATGACTCTCTTGCTCAAGAAGATCAAGAAGTTTGACTAGGGTACACAGCAGTTGAACCTGAGGAATTAATTACATTGTAATGAATATGGCATCGAATTGTCAGATTGTTGTTAGAGATCTACGTTTTTTTGCATGCGTGCATCTTCTTTCTCTTCTTCTCTTCTCACTTACAACAACACATCATCGTTCGATATAGTAGATTTTATTCTTTCTCTTTATTTTCATCTGTTCTTTTTTTCTAGGTTTTTTTTGTTGATTGTTCTTGTTTTGTTAGTCCATTTACATAGAAAGCTTTTTTTGTTTACCACTTTGCTGCTATTGATCTTATAGATAAACTTAGCTTGTTGTGCGACATTCGTTCTTATTGAATAATTCTTTTCTTCGCGTTAGCTAAAAAAAATGAAAACCCAGGTTTGTAAGACACGTTACACTTCCAACAGTTGTGCATGTTGTCGAAAATTCGGTGAAAATTGAACAATATTGTCAAAACTCAATTGACACAATTCCAATAGAAGCTGTAATATTAATGTCGTTTTTCCATCAGACAAATTATGGATAATAATCTTTTAAGAAATTCATCACAACATGTAATTGTTACTAAATTTTATAGTACTCATTCAACACATGAATTGAATAATAAATCAGATAACTAAATGTTATTAAATGAGTATTTATGGGCTAATTAATTGATTCATTGAATGAAACAATTGATATTTTCGAGCATTTTTCATAGGATGTAGTTGGATGTGGACTAGACCGTGAGTGCGAGTTAATTCTTCAATGACACCCATACTCACACATTGATATTTACTAGACTAGACCATTTTGTGAACATCAAGTAAAATCCAAATTATAGTTTTGTGCAACAAAATTGTGATTATAGCTCTCTATCATTTCAATGAGAGAAATACAAGTGCTATCATGAAACGTAGAATCCACAGTAGTCTAAAGTCACTTGTTATTGGAGCAGTGGTACTTCTTGGAGATGTTGTTGTTGATTGTGAATTGAATAAAATCGTTGTCAATATTGTCTCTGAATTCTTCTCGTTTGTCAGAATATCGGCATTGCATGAATGGCGTGCTAGTTGCAAATTATAATCTGTAAGAATGGTGAACGTTTTATTGGAGCTCATATCAACAAACACGAGCGTATCTTGGAGACTAGTTGTGTCGTTCGAATGATATCTAAATGAAACTTGAAGTATATAGTACAATCAGAGTCGCTTCTTTTCAATCTTAAAGATCCCATGTTTTGACTTTGAGGATCACTTTGGTCAAACGATAAAGCCGTACTGCGTGTCTACTGAATACTAAATTCTTTTGATACGAAGTTTATAGAGTATTCTCATTGAAATGCATCTAACAGTTAGTTTTGAGGACAAGAAAATGGTTATATGGGTCTATATTCATTATAGTACTCGTAGAAAACAGAAATTACCTATATAATAGTGAAAGAACGGATGAAAATATTTTGAAATCGGTTTTTTCGTTCAATGTCTTAAGCTAATAATAGATGATATACTCGTTGTTTGACTAAATTCACTTTTCTCTGTTATGTTAT